GAGGAAAAAAAATTAACTTAAATGATTTTAGCAAATGGCTGCAATATAACAAAGAGTGAAAAATTTAAGGGGGTCTGAATACTTTCCGTACCCACTGTATATATACATATATATATAAAAATAGAAGCATTTTCACTAATAATTTCGCAAGTTGAGTGCAAAGTTGAACTGGAAAATGTAATCATTAATACATTTTTAAATTTATTAAAACTTTATATATATATATATATATATATATTATACAGACAAATGTATTTACTTATTATTTATTATTATTTTATTATTATTATTATTTATTTTTTTAATTGAAAAATTCTACATTTTCACTAGTAGTCTCAGATTTTTCCGCCTCACTGTACACAAACACTTCCCCCTTTTTCTTTTCTGAGGATTTCTTCAAATATCGCAAACACACGCCACCAAGTTGAATGAGCACGAGACTGTGGGTGTGTGTGTTTGAGGGCGACAGAGTATATTTTCCTTTCCTCCTCAGGGTAGATTTGTAATTAAGCTTTTGGGTTGAGGCTTTTCTGCTCGGCTGGAGCTCCAAAATCTTTGGTGAGAGAGAGAAACAGAGAAGGAAAGAGAGGGCGAGCGAGCAGAATCATAATGACACAGCTCCTGGTGGAGTGTGAAATTCACCTCCGAATCCATATGCCAATAGCATCTCTCACCAAGGCACCCACAACAGGGGCCTCCTGAGCCTTTTAACCCCAGCCTCTGGAAATCAGTTATTCATTCATTCGCCGCAATCGCAGGTCCTCTGATTGCTCTGACGCGTCTAATAAATGCTCAGATTGGCTTTTGAGCGCCGTGGTCTGGAATGAGAATCTCTTTGCGTCGTTCCACAGAGACGGTTCCTTTCCTTCAGGGTGGAAGCTTGTGGAAGCGGAACGTGTCAAATCCACAAGGGGGATCTGGGATGAAGGAGATGTACGGGTCATACCTGAGGGGCTTCTGTTGATGAGAAGAGGCGCCTCAGTAACACCGTTTGGAACACCACCTTTGAGAACATCGTAACTCCAGTGTGACAGCGGCGGTGTGCGAGCTTTACAACGTCTGTTCTTTGTTGTCTTTATCTGTCTGCTCAAAATATAGCTATGTTTTCCCACCCCATTTGTCCCGCACGTTGAGATTGCTGCCTCTGTTTCGATACAATAACTGAACTGAAGTGGTGAAATGTTCACGAGATGGAAAATCCTCAAAGATTTGTGCGACCAATAATCTATATCAATCCTTAACTCACAATACACCAAACCGCCAAGCGTTTGGTATCATGCAACACTCAAAAGCTTCCATTGCTAGTCATTATGATTAGCAGTAATTGCTAAGGCAAGCATCACAGTTGTGAAGACTCATACTTAGGGTTTGAGAACAAACCACTAACCCTAAATATTCAAATTAATGGTTGTTTAGCACATATGTTTAGCATGACCAGGATTTTGGACAGAAATAACAATTTCCTATGGAGATGTTCACACTGGGAACAAACACTCAGCTGAAGTTTTTTTCTTCTTTACTCCAGCCAGTATGATATGAGCTTTGAGTCACATGTCACAAAACTGGACACTGTAGATGTACACCCTTGTGAAACAGAAGGAAACTTTAAAATAGTATACTACTTAGCATACTTTTAAAAAGATAGCTTATTAAGGCAATAATGGAGTTTAAGAATATACTTGTGTGCAGACTAAATGTTTTCAGACACTTAGCTACAGGTTTGGCCCACTTAAGTAGGACTTAAGTACATTTTTTATTTCATAATTACTTTTATTGTCTTTGAAATATGGTTATAAGTATACTGCTGAATGCAATGACAAACATTTATGGTGAACTAATATATACTTTGATGTAATTTCCATTTAAAACTTTTATGTCATGTATCTAAAATATTTGTAATTACACATTTGTAATGAAGTTGCATTTGAAATATATTAACATGTACTGCACGTGCTTTAGCATGTTAAAAAATCTAAATCTAAAACATTTTTTAAAATGTACTTTAAAGTAGGTCTAAAACTTTTAATTTGACTATTACATTATTGTACTTTTTTTTTTTTTTAATTGAACATAAGTGTGCTAAGAGCAAATTCTCCTTAAGGTCACTTGAGTTCATTAATATTATATTTATCTGTGTGTACAGTTTTTTTTTTTTTTTTTTACTATACCTTTAAGATATGAAGTACACTACAAGTGCACATACAATACAATTAAGTGCACTTCTTTTCACAAGGACAGACTTCCACAATTAAGGGCAGTCTTTAGCTTCACACAGGTTGAGCACAAGCAGGAAAATGACTCTATATAAAATGTTTGCAGTTCATGAACAATTTTAACTGCAGGCAAAACGTGATTAGTGCGTTTTTTTGCATAAAATATACCATAAAGGTTTTTTTTTTTTTACTTGGATCTGTAAGCAACCACTCATACTAGCAATTGCATCGCAATGCTCTAAAAACAAAAAAAAACACAAAAAAAAACGCATAGCAATGCCCCCGCAACCACCACAACAACTTAGCATTAAATTTTTTTTCCAGAATCTTTTATATCTAAAAATTAGCAGTGATAGTATAGCTTTTTTCCCTTTAATTCTGCCAGACTAAACCCAGGAGACGACTGTCAAGTAGTTAATAAGTAAACAGGAAACATATCACTGAGCAGCGCATGAATCATTGGCAGGTAAAAATAATCCTCCCAGTTCAAACCGATGAGAGGATGTAGGAGTCAGACTTCATGAGGAGCATCGTTCACGGATAATACACAAAGTCTCAACGGATATTCAGCCAAGGCTTTGGCAGTGTGCCAGTCCACCAATGTTCAGTAGCCTGCAGGTTCAAGGAGTGCAGAAGCCAGGAAGTGTTGAAGGTGTGCAGTCAGTGTCGATCCCAGAATGCATATTTAGCCCTATAGGGCTCTGATACAGCTGCCGTAATGCAGCGTTAGTCTTTGATCTGCACGCTGCGCTGGCGAACGATCTCAGTGGGGCATATCCACTGCCTGAGAGCTTTATACATTTGCTTCCATGCAATGATGCTTTTTATATCAACATTCCAGGCTATGAAAGTACATGCCTATATGTCTACATAGGGCAACAAGCTTCCGGCTGTTGAAGTCAGAATGCATAGATATCTTGAGCACTCGTTGAACTCTGAAACCCTCGGGGAGGATTGTGTGTTAACTCTCTTTAACCAGTACTGTGCATTGTCAACGCATGCATGCAGACAGCTTGCTCAAACAGATGATTTTAGATGTCAGCTGACCTATGCATGTGTTTCCTGCTGACTCTTTTACTGTATACCTCCATTTTTCTCTCTCGCCACGCTCCAAATGTTAAGTAAGTGTCTACATTTGGCGTAGTGTCTTATATAAGTTTGTACAGAGGCCAGCATATTTGTTGTGAAACACGAAGGTGGCCCCATGCAGTGTGGCTTGTGTTCAGCCGAGCTTGAATGTCAGGACTGTGGTGGGTGGTGTTACACAACTTTTTTTTTTTTCCTCCAAAGCATATCTTTCAGCATTAACACAGGGCAATCAGCTGTTTGAGCTATGGTATGCATTATTTATATACTATAAATAATAATAAAAAATATTTTAAAAATCCCTTTTAGCTCGTATTCCATCTTACATTTCACAGCCTGTCTCATCTGGGAAAAAGGAACAAAAATATCCTGCACTACACAGATTTTTGTCTAATCCCATCCTGTCAAGAATGAGAACCTGATGACATAGAAACCCTTAGCAAACTCTTCTCACCGACACAAGCAAATCTGCAAGATCCTGAATATGCACGAAATGTTGATCATTTACCATGGTTTGTTTTATGCAAAATAAATGTGTTTTGTTAGATACTATGCATTAAGTGATAGAAATGAAAATGCTATATAAATATAAAAACATTTTTTGTTTTTAGTCTTCTGGCTTGAATTCATGAAAACGAATGCCCAACCGAATTTTTCAGGTGCACACAAAGGCCGCATAGAGCCTAGTGATAAATACTGATAAATACCCTTTTTGATATGTCCCACCCAAACAACGCAAAATGGACAACTGCACTCATTGAAGGATTTAATTTGTCTTTAAGGCCCTACTATTTTTTTAATTCCCTCATGCCTGGAAAACATGTGTCTATAATTTTCCAACAACTGTTTAGTTCGGCTCAGCTGGTGTGGCTTGAGTTTGTGTTCAGCGGTGACTAATAGCGTGACCCTAATAACATGCCTGACACGGTGGCTTTTTTGAAGAGCTGTATTCATTGTATGCCTTCCTGAGTCACTGCAGGATAATCAACCAAAGTTCCATAAGGTTAACACTCTTTTGTTTGTGTTTGTGTGCACGTGGGTGTGTGTTTGCGAACGAAAACCGAGAGATAGATGGAAAAAAGATCCTCCCCAAATTCCCCTGCAAGGACATCAGAAAGCTTTCAGTGAATGTGCGAGATGGAGGTTATTGGGTTTAGGCAGTTAGTGTTTTAACAGCAGCCCTGGTTTCCTCCCCTGTGGTTGCTATGAGTTCAGTGAGTTGGTATGGAGGCTGGCACGAAGGGTTTTTCCACATGGTTTCAGTGTGCCAGTCCATGTGCCCTTCAGTCATTGTGGTATATTGGTTGTTTGTTTTACTAGAACACACTCATTTTCATGCCTTACACCCTGACCACTATGTTTGTCAGGCATGTACATAAACGTGCACCAACTTGACTTGGCTATTCGCCCAATGCAGTGTCATACAAATGAGTTGTGAGTGACTGTCTTGCATTACCTGAATGGTATGGCTGGGAAATGATTCCAAAAGTAATAAATTCTTTGATTCTTAGGCATTGGGAACAATGGGGCACTGCAGCTAAATTTGGTTGTCAGTTCACCTTTTAGCACTTAATCCTGTTCTGTACATATGTAACGGAGGCCAGCGGTAGGTGCTGTGCAGGTAAACCTCACTCCCCTGATCTCAAGAGACGCACTAGCGACTAACGCTAGTGGCTGCAGTCTTTAGCTTCCTTGTTAGTGCGTCCGCCTCCCATGCCGGAGTCCCGGGTTCGAGACCCACTCGGAGCGAGAACGAGGTGTGGCGGTGAGGACCCGGGAGAGAGGGGTTACATTGGTGCCGTGACCCAGATGGGAGTGAGGGTTAGGGGGGTGAGTGTAACGGAGGCCAACGGTTACACATACACAGTTCAGTCATTTACGGAAGTGACAACCACATTCTACGACCAAACTGACTCCCGAAAAATGAAGGTAGTGACAAGCATGAACCGAACAATTAATTGTTAATGACATATTTAAACAGTTAACAAGTTGTGTTAACAGAGCACATTTTTACTCAGAGCTGGGTAAAAATATTGATTTCTCGATTCTCAATTTTATGCAACACTATCAATTCATAAATCCCAAGAATCGATTAGTCTAGCCTGTCAGATAATGAACGGACATTGTAGCGCGCCTCCCATCCAATAAATCGCAACAAGCTTTGTGCTTTGTTACTTTTGATTTGAAACAAAGTCTCAGATTTCAAATTCTGTCCATTTTATTTTAATATTAAAATATTGAATGCCGTTTTGGAGCTGTTTAATGTGGAGTGACAGATCGCTGTAGCGGCTCAGCTAGAAGCGGCAGCGTGAACTGATCGTCTCCACCGCTTTAATAGCAGTTCGAATTCCGTCTCCTGTCTCATGTAATCGCTCAATCAGTGTTTTTTAAAAAAAAAAATTTTTACTGTTCTTCAATATTTAATTTATGTTTGAATAAATTCGTTTTTGTGACAACCACCATTTAAATGTTTATATTTCAAAAAACGAATTGGAGTAAAAATATAAATATGTACTTTATTGAGTATATTTTAAATGTTTGTATAAATCAGCTCATTTCAACCTTCCATATTTTACAGCATTAGTTGAGAGATTGTTTTGTTCCTTGAGAAAATTTGCCATGTCCTGTACCTGATATATATCCAAAATAATCTATATTGAATTGAATCAAAATCGGAATTGAATCAAATCGAATCGCAAGCTTGTGAATGATAATCGAATCGAATTATGAAATTTGTGTCAAAACCCAGCCCTACTTGTTATTGTTGCCAGATTTTGCTGGGAATAAGCAAAGTACGTTTAATCTTTGAAATAAGCCACATTATTGTAACCAGCACCTGCCTACGTTATTAACTCCATCAAATTGATCGCTTTATGAGCTGAGCCCAAACAACAAGCCCAAAGATGCTTAATAAGCATTGCTTATAATAAGTGGACATGGCAACCCTTCAAGAGTGTGCTCTGCAAAGTAGCCTTCCAAACAAAAACAAAACACACTGGCTCTGTTAAAATCAATGGTTTAGTTAAAATCGTCAAACATAAGTCTTTGGCCGCTGTTACTACTGTGTTTAAAAATAGCAGATACCAAATGCACTGGACCCCACAACATTGCTATGGCTACCATGGTGTCAATCATCACAGTTTCTAAAGTGAGTTCTGTTTCTTACGCACAAGAAATTATAATTTAAGAGATTCATTCCCGTATTCAAATGGGGTTCTCACTCCTGAAACTTTACAGTGTGTATGTGGCCTCAGACTCATTCTTTTGTGTCATTGTGTAATGACGCCATTGTTATATTATCACAAAATCTTGGATTCAATGTTTTTGCCAACTTGTTTTCTTTCAATTAACACAGGTTTTGTTTTTCTTTTTGGAACCAATTGGTCATCATGGGCCTCATTGATCTGTGCTTAAGCACCTCAAATTTTATGAGGATTATTAAAGTTTGTTGTCACTATTTCATTGTCAAATAGCATACGACTGGCAAATATTGATTAGTCTACATCTTGTTCAAGTTTCCTACAATTGTTTTCCACCTAAAACATACAATATAGTGTAGCGTCTGGACCAATCAGACACACCGTTTCTCATTTGATTTAACAAATCAATTATTCATTAGATTAACAAACGTTCACAGACCCCTCACCCAATAAACATACTGGGTGCCAAGTTGTCTGTGAACAAGGCCCAGGACCCTGGTTACCATGGCAACCCTAACACCAGATACATTTACGACCTAATGGAATGTGAGAGCTGATTCGCTACAATAGACACTGATGCACAAGTGCGGATTCGTTCTGGGTGTCTAAACAATATAAAAAGAATAAACTAGTCTCATAAACTGCATTTAGCTTAAAGGGGGAAACTGGCTTGTTCTGTTATCCACAATGGAAGGTTATGAGCGCCAATCCTACATGAAGAGATAATAGATGCTGATAACAAACAATGAATACTAAGGAAGTTTAAAAGGAAGTCATGTAGTCACAAAGAGATTAGGAGAACACGTTCCTCCAATCTATAAAAAAAAAGAATCGAAAAGTGATCAAAAACAACAATAAGGAATCAATTCCAGAAGCAGGAATCGGAATCGATTCCAAAAATTTCAGAATCAAACAGCCCTAGAGCGTTGTTTGTGCCACTCAAAATACAATAATGTCAGCCATATGTGTGACCTCTTTGGCAAAGGAACATAAACCTGCTGCCATCTGAACAGCACCAGGCTGCTGACTACTTCTAAAGCCCCAGTGCAATCCCAGAATGATCTGGCCTGAAAAAGCTAACAGGAAAGAACCAATATATCAAAGAAACTTGCCAGCGTAATAAGGTGTAACATCTCGGCTTCTCTCCAGCAAACAGGTGCAGGAGTTCTTGGAATCGTGCTGGCAACGCCGTGCAATGTATCGACTGTAAACAGTCAGCAGTTCATAGAAACCCTTTGTAGCAAACGACGCTAGCTGGAAAATGTGGCAACTGACACTGTAGCAGAATACTTTTTTGCTCACGCACACACTTTGAAGTGACCTTTATATGCTGTGTCACACCAGCGAGAAATAACAAAAAGCAGCCTGTGAACTGAACGCTTCAGCTCTTCCCACCACTGCAGTACTGGCACCCGCACCGTGACCCCGCAGCGGGCCGAGGAGGAGTGGAAAATAACTGTGAGCGTGCTGAGGAGCGGGAACACTGTGACTGACAAATGGATAATTTTCTCGAAGACATTTGCGTCCTGATTGGCTAATTGTCTGGGAAGTGTCCTCACATTTGAGTCACCATGCTGTGGGAAATGAGGGATATTTCTTTGTTTCTAATTTCTTAAAGGCAAAACGGGAGTATGAAATAAAGCTTTGCTAATGTAGAGATGGAGTCAAGGAAATCTAATTAGGATCATTTAATTCAATTAGTTCTCTTTCCAATAATGTGACTCAAGGGAGTGCTGTAGTGTCTCAGATTCACATGGTAATTGTCTCAACTTTATTCCCACCTCTTTGCATTTCTTGATATATTTTCACTTAATCTAGGAATGGCTTATTGCCTGATTTCAACAATGCATCTACTTTGGCCAACAAAATTGCACATTCTTTGTTGCTCATCTTCTGTTTTAGCATTAAACCTTGTCCTAATCAGGAGTGACATGACAAACCAATGAGCAATAAAAACTTCATATCTTCCACGTTAAGCCAGTTCACACTGCCAGCAACTTGCAGTAACAACACTTCCTGATTTTTTGATTCTGGGTGTATTCAGCAACTCAATAAAGTTGAAAAAAAAAAAAAAAATAAATAAAAAATATATATATATATATTTCTTAAAATGTGGTGACAAACCTGTCCCTCGATTTCTGAGTCCTGAAAAAGAGTTCAAATAGTCACCAAACTCCATTTAAAAGGACACATTTTAATACATAAGAGTTTATACAAGTTTGATTCTGTATTGTGTTGTACATTTTTTTTAAAGTCTATTTGAATGTCAACTGTGTGAAGCATTAATGCAAAGTGAAAGGAAAAGTATAAATCATAATATAAATGTATTAAAAAGAATGCTTTTTTGACAGCGGTGTTATTAATGCTAAAACTTTTATTTTGAAAATAAAAAATGTCATAGAAAAGTACTTTCAAGGTACAAGAGTTAGTAGAGACTGTTCAAATGTGTTTTTCTTTTTTCTTTTTTTTAAATATTGTTAAAAATTTGTGTGATACATTTTCAGGAAAAAAACATTTTAAGTTATAATTTATTGATTATAATCACATAAGAGGTAGTTTAAGATGATATTGACGGCATCTTAAAAATACTTTTATTATTATTATGTTATTATTTTTATGATTTACAACCCTTTCTTAATTTGTTAAATAAATAATTAAATAAAAGTCCTTAAATTAGTCAAGTTGTCCTTTATAATAGTAATAGGGGAAACAAATAACTAAATTATAACTTCAACGTTTTGTAAGTCAGAAAAGAAAAAGAAAAAGATCTGAGCTAGAGAGATTGATAGAACATATTGTACAAGACAATTCCTTCAAGTTTCGCAAAGAAAACCATAAAAAATATGCTGTATGAAAAAGCATCACAGAAATCTTGAAAATATCTTTTAGTTCTATGCTCTATTTATGCAGTGTTGCAGGTGATAATAAGCGTGCAAACAAAGAAATCATCTTCACTTATCTGACTGGTTGTGATTGTGTTGCTATGCAATATTTTCGCTGTCATTGTGGAAAAAAAAATATGTTGCTGTAATCTTGTCGTGTTAGCATTTTATCACTAGCTTTCAGCTATAGGCTAACTTCGCAACATAAAGAATGGCTTGATAATAACACAAGAAGGCCTGTGTTGGTCTTGTTCCCAGCTGAGTATATTGCTCTGCTCTCACAGTGACCTCTTACAATTGCTTTTTGCTGCTGGAGAACACACAAATTAGGCTTGGCCCCTTCCAGCAAACCCAGGGTGGAGGCAACAAGATGAGAGAAAGGGCAAAGAGGGAGGTGAAGTGTGAGGATGACAGACAGAGAGAAAATTAAAGAAGAAGCGCTCCTAATTTCATGCCATGTGAGGACAGCTCTCTTACCACAGAAAACCACAGAATTTGCAGAGATTTGTAGGAAAGTGTCACATTTCTCAAGTACACGACTCAATTTCTTCTCCTTGATCCATTGTCAGGCCCAGCTAATGTGAGCTGAGCAAAATTAAAGGGGTGGTTGACTGTTTTTTTTCTAGGCTTGATTGTGTTTATGGGGTGCAGTCTAACATGTGTTAATGCTTCGTTTAAAAAAAACAACAACATTATTTTTCACATAATTTACCTTTATTCCACACCGCTCTGTCCCTTCTCTGAGAATTGGACTGATCTTTTCCTGTTTTTATGAAGCCCC